CACAACCTTGAACTGTGTTTAGTGTGTGTGTTTATTGTTTCTACACTGTGAAACAGTCCTTGGAAAAATTGTCCATAAGTTACAAGTAACAAAGTACATACGTATTCTGAGTTATTTGAAGTAATATCATTTCTGGGAAATCTCCAATTGATGTTTTAAAGGTGAGGATCATACTGAACCCTAGACAAAGTTTCTTACATTGGAATGTCTCTTTTGCCAATTTGTTTTTTTGAGTTTAGAGGGGTATGCACTAAGTAGCTATTCCCTTACTATAACGAGCCGGGTGGCAAAAGGGTTACATATTGTTACTTGATATTTTAATAATACGTTTCAAAGTCATACACAAAAAAATTGCTTGTACTGTAACACAGTGTGTCAGTTTCAGACTTTATCACACTTACTGCCTGCTCCACCTGCTCCACCTGCTCCACCTGGTCCAACACCTCCTTGTCCAAATGCTCCAGCCCCTGCGAAAAATATTTGTTAAATATTTTAAATACATATAAATTTAAACTATAATCTTCCTCAAAGAAATATCAGTGTTAAATGAAAGCACTGTGTACCAAGGAGCATCACAGTGCATCAAAAGTCTTATTTTCCTTCCTTTGTGTATTCAACAAATCCAGTTTATAGTGATTCCATAGACAGCTGTTCAATGTCTGTAATAGACTAAGAGCACACACACCAGTCTGAGTCCCAAGACCAGATCCTATGGCCACTCCAGGGAGAACACCCCGGCCCCCGAAACCTAGCCCAGGAGATGAAAAGACAGAAACATCACACAACTTGTACAAGTTCTGTAAACACATGAAATACCTCAAAATAATATATTATTGTATTGTTTAACACATATTCTGTGTGTCTGATATATAGTAAGTGTTAGCACATACCTTGGCCTGGTACAAATCCACCTTGATAGAGTCCAGGGATTCCAACTCCTACATGACAGCACACTCAAATTCAGAACATTGCCCAGAATATTTCGGTGTTTGTGGTTGATCATCTTTTGGAGTTTACCTGGAACTTGTTTTGATGCTTTGCCACTGGTCTTTCCTGCCCCAGGAGTGCCAATCTGTGGCAGCGCTGGAATTGGAATATGAAAAAAAAAATCACTTTAGTAAACAAAATACAACTTTTAGAAAATGGTGAAATAGCAAATCAACATTTTTATTTACCTGATAATTCTTAGAGTTATCATTTTAAAACTTAATGTAACTTGAAAAGTTAAACAGGAATCACTTTACAGGCCATTTATGTTTAATACTTACCATAAGCTTTTCCTTAGAAATACAGTGTAACTGATTGTTAACTAATGACTTACAATAATGTCAATATAATGTACAGTGAGGAACAGAAGTATTTGAACACCCTGCGATTTTGCTCAAATACTTATGTTCAGCAGTGCTAGACAAATAAATTCTTTAAAAATCATACAATGTGATTTCCTGAAATGTTTTTTTAATTCTGTCTCTCAGAGTGGGAATGCACCTACAATGTGAATTTCAGACCCCTCCATGATTTCTAACTGGGAGAACTTGCAAAATCGCAGGGTTTTCAAATACTTCTGTTCCTCACTGTATGTCGCTAATTTGCTTTCAATCTTTACTGCTTCTTATGTGAAACTTGTTCTCATTATTAAAATACATACATACTGTATATATGTTGTGTACAGTAGCGTATAATGAAATCACATAATCCACCTCCAATAGGTCCAACTCCCGCACCACCAGGCCCAAATCCAGCACCGCCAGGTCCTACTCCTGCACCACCAGGTCCAAATCCAGCACCACCGGGCCCAACCCCTGCGCCGCCAGGTCCAAATCCTGCACCACCAGGTCCAAATCCAGCACCACCGGGCCCAACCCCTGCACCGCCAGGTCCAAATCCCGCACCGCCAGGTCCAAATCCCGCACCGCCAGGTCCTACTCCCGCACGACCAGGTCCAAATCCAGCACCGCCAGGTCCAAATCCAGCACCACCAGGCCCAAATCCTGTGCCGCCAGGTCCAAATCCAGCACCACCAGGCCCAACCCCTGCGCCACCAGGTCCAAATCCAGCACCGCCAGGTCCAACTCCTGCACCACCTAAGATCAGAGAATACAAAGTATAAAATGCACTCATATTTTAGTCATCAAAACTGTGTAATGTATCAAGCTAGCCACCACCACTGTGTAAATGGTGATGGTGGCTATCTGTTTTAGGAGGTTTTGCCCAGTTAAACTAGTTCTGGGGTACTGACCAACACCTCCTGGTTCATAACCACCTACATAGCCTCCATAGCTACCCTAGTTAGGACAGAGTTTTTGTTAATTACACATATATCCAGCAAGGTAAAAATATATTTAAAACTGTATGATGAGTGGTCTCTTGGAAAAGAGATGCCACATATATTGTTTAGGCAAATTATGATGTTCCACCAAGAAATGTTGTATGTAGAAGTTACACAAGCATGAGTTAGCTATATTTTTTCTTGAAACACAAAGCAGCTTGTTTATTATTTTACTGGTATGCCTAAAGCTGTGAATAAATTGAATATGTTGTTCAGTGATTCTCATAGTTAAATTGTTGTATTAAAAACACCAGCACTGTCGCCTCACAGTAAGAAGGTTCTGGGTTTGCGTCCCAGCCAAGCCGGGGCATTTCTGTGCAGTTTGCATGTTCTCCCTGTGCCTGCGCTGGTTCTTTCCAGGTACTTAATCCCACAATCCAAAGACATGGATCTTAGGATGTGTGGTGACTCTAAATTGCCCCTAGGAGTGAGTGTGGGTGTGTGTGGTTGTTTGTCTACATGTCAGCCCTGTGATAGACTCCAGGGTGGACCCCGCCTCTTGCTCAGTGTCAACTGGGATTATTTCCAGCCCCCCCTCGACCCTTTTCAAGATAAGCAATATGGATAATGGATGGATTAAAAACACCTGGAGATCACCTTCTGTTATTAAGCCTACATTTATTTGTTCATGCACTGAAACAGACCTATAATTTTAAACCTGTTTTTGGTGTCATGTAAAAATCATGTAGACAAATGACCTCCAGGCATGCACTGTAGTCTGTTCCAGCTCCCTGACCTCTGTCTGTCCTGGGGCATCCTGCTCCTAATGCTCCTCCACCCTAACTTCCTGCCCCAAGGCCTCTGCGTCATAATGTGCAGATAATAGAGGAACAGTAACTAGTGCTCACTATGCATACTCTAGTGACTACAATATCTTAAATCATACATTAATGAATTCAGTCTGTCCCTGTGCAACTCCACCCTTTTGTAACAGAAACCTGAAAAGGATTCATTGTTCTGCAGAAAGGTTAGAAAATTAGTTTGAAGTGCTCATGCTTGACTTTAAAACATCTTAAATCTCTTGTAGGGTTTGACTGTAGATGGGTCAGTAACAGTTACAAAACTGCAGAGAGAAACTGAACCCTGTGTGGGAAACAGCTGAGAACCACTGGGAGAACAATATGATTCATTCTTTCTGAAAAAAGCTATTGCAACATCAAAATATAAATTCAATGATTTCATTCCCTGTTGAAAGAGAACTTGTACACATGATACTTCATGTTAAAATACAAGATTTTAAACCAGGTCACTCACTCATAGTTTCTCAACTTTGCAAAACAACAACACATCTGTTTCTCTCAAATGTAATCTAATTATAAACAGCTCAAGGTCACTGTATTCATGTAATACTTCTGAGCTTTGCCTTGAATAGATTTTTTTAAATTACAGTATAGTCTTTATGAATGCATGCTTCCCATTGCTTACTTGTCTTATTCTCCAGGGTGGAGCAGTTCAGCACATACTTTGTAGGCATTATTTTGTAGAGTAGATGTGTGTGCTGAGATGGCCAGACTTTTGGTAAACTGGAAAGTGTGACATACTGTAGGAGTTGTTTCTCTGTTCTTACACTGACCCATTTTCTACCCACTGCCACTCAAATTGTTGCACGGGGCAAAACAAAACAAAATATTGCTTGGATATTATCACTAACATTCCTCATCCCGCAAAGACAACTCACATGCTCGGAGGATGAAAAACAGAAAGGCCTGAAATTGCAAAGCAAAGCAGTCTTTCTGACTGATGTGCTCACTTCCATCCTTTATCAGGGACTTGCCGTTGCTAATCCATTAGCCTTTATCATTGTATTGTGTGCATATGTTGTTGGATGGTCTCTCAACAATACATTGTTATCTTGATGCAATTAGGAGATGAAATAAAGGTACATGCATGCAATCATTATCCTGCTGCACTGACTTGACCAAAGGAAAAACATTTGCTAGAACAGAGGCTGACCATTGATCCGTGTATGCAGAGGGAGCAAGAGAGAGCGTTTGAAGGTCACATGATGTATGTTAATAGGTGATCTGTTATAATAACTATAGTATTGTGGTTGTTGCACATTATTCTGGAAATAAGGCAATCAGGTATTAAAGGTTGCCATCATTTTTGTGGTTGCATGTGTCATTTTTCACTACTCACAATCAAGCATGTTTACAAAAAAGCAGGTTTGTTCCTACATACGTCATATAAACAACTGGACCCTTTCCAGGCATAGAATTCATGAAAGCCTTAAAAGACTTACCTGTTTTTGGAGGTTTTCCACCTGTACGAAGAAAGAAATTATGACAGGTAAATCAATGTTAGCATAATGGAGATTTTGCTTGACTTTGCTCTATAGATGGTGGAATAAATAGACAATCAAAATATTAACTAGATATTTTGTCTTACCAGCCACAATACCTCCAGGTCCAACTCCCTGTCCAGCAGTTCCAGGGCCAAAGATACCAGGACTGAAACCTCCTGGTCCAACACCCCCTGGTCCAACACCCCCCGGTCCAAATCCTCCCGGTCCAAATCCTCCCGGTCCAACTCCACCTGGTCCAACACCTCCTGGTCCAAATCCTCCTGTTCCAACTCCACCTGGTCCAAATCCTCCTGGTCCAACACCCCCTGGTCCAAAACCACCTGACACGACTCCACCTAGAGGTAAGTAAGATACCAAGAAAACTCATATATACTTCTACACTGTTTCAGTGGACCAGAGTCATCATGATGGTCTACAGGTTTGTTCCTACATACGTCATATAAACAACTGGACCCTTTCCAGGCATAGAATTCATGAAAGCCTTAAAAGACTTACCTGTTTTTGGAGGTTTTCCACCTGTACAAAGAGAGAAATTATGACAGGTAAATCAATGTTAGCATAATGGAGATCTTGCTTGACTTTGCTCTACAGATGGTGGAATAAATAGATAATCAAAATATCAACCAGATATTTTTTCTTAACAGCCACAATACCTCCAGGTCCAACTCCCTGTCCAGCAGTTCCAGGACCAAAGATGCCAGGCCTGAAACCTCCTGGTCCAACACCTCCTGGTCCAACACCTCCCGGTCCAAATCCTCCCGGTCCAACTCCACCAGGTCCAACACCTCCCTGTCCAAATCCTCCCGTTCCAACACCTCCCGTTCCAACACCTCCTGGTCCAAATCCACCTGGTCCAACACCCCCTGGTCCAAAACCACCTGACACGACTCCACCTAGAGGTAAGTAAGATACCAAGAAAACTCATATATACTTCTACACTGTTTCAGTGGACCAGAGTCATCATGATGGTCTACAGGTTTTTTCCTACATACGTCATATAAACAACTGGACCCTTTCCAGGCATAGAATTCATGAAAGCCTTAAAAGACTTACCTGTTTTTGGAGGTTTTCCACCTGTACGAAGAAAGAAATTATGACAGGTAAATCAGTGTTAGCATAATGGAGATCTTGCTTGACTTTGCTCTATAGATGGTGGAATAAATAGACAATCAAAATATTATTTTTTGTCTTACCAGCCACAATACCTCCAGGTCCAACTCCCTGTCCAGCAGTTCCAGGACCAAAGATGCCAGGACTGAAACCTCCTGGTCCAACTCCACCTGGCCAAACACCTCCCGGTCCAATTCCACCTGGTCCAACACCTCCTGGTCCAACTCCACCTGGTCCAACACCTCCTGGTCCAAATCCTCCTGTTCCAGCTCCACCCGGCCCAACACCCCCCGGTCCAAATCCTCCTGTTCCAACTCCACCTGGACCAACTCCACCTGGCCCAACACCTCCTGGTCCAACTCCCCCTGGGCCAATTCCTCCTGGTGCTTTACCACCATAGCCCCCTGAGGAGCACAGTCACCGCAGCATTGTGAGTGAATGAGTAGATGAAGACAAACCAGCCATCCACACAGAAAGTTAAAGCTGCAACACATCGTATATAAGGGATTTATTATATGCAAGACACAAAAGCACACCCTCTGTTTTGCCTTGCTTGTAACCCGGATCTCCTTGAGTCACTGATGTAATTTAAACAAAACATCTGAAACGTTGTTGTGTGACTGATGAAAGTCTTAAATGTTTTTCATCATCACAACAGCATTGGATAGCTGATGTCTGTATGCTACTTTTAGTGATATAATTCAGTATCTTCTCTCAGTCAGTCCTCATTTGTATCACATAACATCAAACTGAAGTCATAATCAGCTTTTATAAAACTGAACAGAAAACACAAATGACATCCACCTCCCCCAGCTCCTGGTCCAAAGCTTCCTACACCAGCACTGACTCCTCCTGGTCCAATTCCTCCACCAGGCTGAAATCCAGTCCCAGCTCCTCCAGGGCCAAATCCTGTTCCAGGCCCACTTGGTCCAAAACCAGTTCCAGGTCCTGCACCAGCTCCTATGCCAGCTCCAGTTCCTCCACCAGTGCCAGCAGGTATCAATACACCTGATACACAGAACCAGTTTAGTCACAATAAAAAGTATAGATTGTTTCAGTGATAACTCATCTCTCTGCAACTGTGTTCTAGTAAGAAGTAACTAATTGTATTACTGTTATTGCTGAGTAAAACTAATTTGCACAATTTGTTTAGGGCAGAAAAAGATCTTTATATCAGCTGCGTTATCCACATAGCAGTTTAATGAACTGTTTTCCTTGTTTGACTCCAAACAGATGACAGAATTTGTGGAAGTTATGAGTCATCAGTCAGGACTAATGAGGCGTAATTTGTATAAATAACATAGATTACATTTAACAAACAGTATCTGATGCCACACGAGCAGAGTGGAAAACAATGTGTGTTCTCGTGTTCATTGTGTCTATATGGGTGCTTGGGTGTAGCGATTATCAACCCTTTGCTGTGTGTCTGAGTTTCTCTGTAGCTGATAACAAGCACTTCTTCATCCAGACCGCAGGTATCTTAAGTCATAACTCTCACAATTTTTCTGCACCTCTGCTTTCACGATAAGCAAAAGATAGAAACATGGACAGGGACAACTATAAATGGAAAGGTTTTTTAAGATCCCACAGTCCAGATGTGAAAAGAAGAGGCCTGCAGGGGATTCCTAAAGAATGTGAGTTACTGATCTCACAGTATTGCCATGTACAGCACATTAACAGTATAGAGTAAATAACTAAACTGTTCAGTCATTCAACTCTGCCCCCTGGATTCTGCAAAACGGAAACCTCGTCCCCCAAAAGTGGTTGTTGTTTTGGTGGGAATCTTTATTCAAATGAAACGGTGGACAAGTACAACTATACAAGCACATTCACCAGAAACATGTTGCAATAGATAATAAAAGAAGACAGGAGTAGGGCTTGGCAGCCAATTCAGATCAAGATGAAATGTTCTTTTTTAAAATGTAATGATCGTCCAAGGTTCACTGCTAAGAAAAGACAGATTTTCAACTATGACAATAATATCTCATTACTGAATTAATCACGTTTGTCTCATTTTATTACTCTGCTCATGATATTGTGCTATAACTGCTAATATTTTTATTTCTCAGCGAGTGTGGCTCAAGGGATGAAAATGTCAGTTCATTGATTGGTTCACAACTTTTGTGTCAAGTGAAATATCTTTCACCAGACATTAATGATCCTCAGGGAACTCAGCAGGCTTTGTTGCAAAACATTTGACAATCTAGCGAAATATCTCAACATCTACTAGCTGAATTGGCACAGACTTTGGCACAGATGTTCATGGTTCCCAGAGACTGAGGCATCTCAACAAGTGTTAGATGAGTTGTCACTGTCACGAGCCAACATTTTTTTTTAATGAACTCCCCTGACATTTTGTGTAGCATCAGGTCAAAATCTAAATGTGTTCAATACTTAGTTTATCTTTTCAATGATAATTACAGCCTCACAGGGCTGCTAGCACTGCTGTAGACTTTAAATCTTGTTGAAGGTGCACTGCAACAGTTTTTTATGTTGATTTTAAGATGAATTTAAACTGAACATGCACAGCCTGACCTCACATGACTTCAAATTTCACAACAGCTGGAACAGGATTTTAAACTACCTGTGCTCTCCTCTGACAAGACAAGGAAGAGCATGAGGGGAATGTCCTTGGATCAGCCAACTTAAACAGACAAGACAGTGAGACGGGATGTGGTGGCATAAGGTCTAGAGCAGGTGGATTTAATTCGAACTTTAAATAAGATAGGAAGGATAGCACCTTATTAAATAACCATGTTGTCCAGACCTCTTGTTTCAAGAGGACGGAGAGTTGTGATGAATGATGCACTCGGGCTTTGTAAAGTCACAAAGAACAGTCATTGTCATTATACTGTGGTTTGTCTAAGGACTGCTGTCACTCTTTAACATGTTTACATACAAAAGTACTTTCACAGTTGATCCAGATAAACATCTGGAAATCGAATACTACATAGCTAACAGTTGCACTGTGTGGAAAGTTACAGCAGCATTCATCAGAAATGTCAACAAAGTTTTGTTTATAACTGAGAAACAAGCAGTTGGCAGTAATTTAAAAATGGGATTTGATGCAGGAAAGCATGTTCAACACAAGCTCCATAAAACATCCCCCACAGGCTGTTAATCTGACAGCAAGACTGGAGGTGAGTTTTATATCTTTTCAGAGTTGACAAATGCATTCACACATTCTTAGTCCTGACCTCATAACATCTTCAGTGACTTGAAGACAAGATTAAAAACTGCAGGAATGGTCATGATATCCCTTATATCCACTTAAAATACTGCAAAAAATATCGTTCCTTCTTGTCAGTAAAATTATGCTTAAATAAGTTCCCCTAGTGTGCAAGAAAAAAAAACCCTGCTGTTATTTATCACAGACTTCTGCTAGGATGTCAGACAGCCTTAATATCATAATCATGATTAATTATCATTGTCATAGTTGCTGCAGCTCACAAAATCTACATAAAAGAACAGATTATACAGAAGATGTACTAAACTATAGGTAAATAATCTGGACCTGAGTCCATGCATCCCTCTTCTCCCAAAACTACTACATAAACTTGATGTGATACTTGATCCACAGGTGCTGCACTGCTGGCCGCCACACACACATGCCGTAAAGAGGACCCACCTCCTTGCAATGAGGGTTTCCACAGAGCCAGGAGAAAGACTCCATGTAGGTATGTAGTCACCATCCCTCTCGCCATCTCAGTCCCAACTGTCCCCCTCCTCTGCCAAGCTCCAGGTTTTATGCCCAGCAAGCTTCAACAGGATTCAAGACAGGGCACTGTGAAATTGTCTAAGAGGTACGCAGAGAAAGATAGACAAGGAACAAGTGAGAGAAAACACACTGGATCACCTCATTAAACCAAATAGGTTGTTCTAACTCCCCAATGACTGCTAGGCTGCATTTATTTGGTTCTCTGCTCTCTTAAAGAGTATGGAGGGTGGTTGGGGGGGGCGTGAGAGAGAGAGAGGAGGAGAAGAAGGATGTGTGAGAGCCAAGGAACTGTGTAAAAATTGGGGGTCTCTGCTTTTCTTTTTTACCTCAAAAAGAAAAAGGGAGCTGTGCCAGAGGTTCCTTATGGATTTCCAAACAGTATCATGTTTAGGTTGTGGGAAAGTGTAGTGACTCATTAAGGAACATGTCATGAACCTTTGTATCCATTTATGAAATATAGCTGTACAAGACGTGTGCCTTGCTAAAAATTGAATTATAACTTCCACCAATTTATGGATGGAGACAAACATAATAGTTGTAGCCTATTGTGTGAAGTGTGTGTGTGTGTGTGTGTGTGTGTGTGTGTGTGTGTGTGTGTGCAGAAAGAGGGGTGGAGGTAGTTTGGCACTCATTAGAGCTTGCTTCTAAGAAAAAGTTATTTGAATAGATGGAAAGAAAACCTGAAATGAAATCTTGCTTTACTTTGACTGGTCAATTAAGATAATATCTGGAAGAAGTGAATTCCTCTGACCTTGAAGTCAGGTCATAGCATCATCTGCATGAGTGAGACAGATTTTTTGGAGAGGAGAAGAATTACAACTATATATAGGAGAGGCAGGAAGGGAGAGGAAATAAAAATAAGGACCAGACAAATGGCAGAAAAGCAAAAAGCAAAGATATAAGCATGATGGGACAGATCAGTATCATTTTGATGTGATGGATTGCCTTTTTTTCTTGGCTTTTTTTAAATTTAAGATATAGTAGATCTAGAGTTTACAGTGTACCTTCCGCAGCATCTCAGTGCCAGGTTCTTAGTGGAGACTCACACTGAACCACGATAAGATGGTTATCCCTTAATGACAAAGAGTGGCATCATGTTAAGAGACATCATCAGGGATGTCATCTGCTCAGTATGTCACCTCTGGACAAGAGCAGCTTTATCCACAAAGCCCCATGGTTTTGCTCACCAGCAGGGTCCTAGCTGCCATAGAGACACACCAGTCGGCGTACCTGGAAACAATCAGTGTTTTTGTTTGATTCAGCAGTGTTGCTGGGGCTTTTCTCCATGTTTGGGCTGGCTGGTCCTGTCCCAGCTCCTAAGGGCCGATGTCTGAGTCTGGCAAGTTCCTGAAACATTTTCTTTGTGTGGTAGTAATGAGCCTGGAGTGGGATGAAGTGAATGAGCTAATGGCACCCAACCACTGAGAGTGAGGATGGGTGAAACATTTGAACCTTGTTAAAGAGGGTGTGCGCTCATGCTGCAGCAGAGAAATGTAGCTTAACATTAGACGAGCAGATATTAAGCCATTTTACTGTCAGTTCTTATAAATCCTGCTCGTCTGTAGCTCCATGGCCCATGGCTCATGGCCACCTCTATAAGCCAAACAGGGCTAGAAGTGGCCAGCAGAAGTGATCCCATTATCAAACCGGCTTTCCGTGGAGCTTTCTATAACTGCCGCCTCAGCCATGAGACCCACATGAATTGATAAATAGTTTCTCTCAAATTACTGACTGCAGCAATGAGAGTCACAACAGCCTGAAATGTGGGAAATATTTCGTAGATGTGATCATGTACAAGCCTTTGGCTCTGAGTTCTGTCCAAAGCTGTCCGATTAGTAAAGCATTGTGCTGTAAATATTACGGAAAGAGTATGTGCTTGCACTGTCTATCTGTGTATGTCCATCTATATGTTTGTGTGTGTTGGAGAGAAAGTAGGAGCAAGGCAGTGTTACCTGAGCACCCATAACTGGTCTTAAAGTGTAGTTTTATTGCTCCATTCTCACAACTGTTATATTTTGTGTTCAGCTTTGATGGAACTACATGGTTATGCAGTGAAATAATACTGGGGTACGTAGAAATTAAAATTATATGCTGAGAGCCACATGCGTTATTTGTCTTGTGATCGTCAGTACAGGTATGAAGTAAAGACTTGGCCAAGAATATGACCAAGAATAAACGTAGTACAAAACATATTTACGAAGTCATTTGTCAGACGCTAGAAACATAATTCTCAATTACCGAAAGCAACAGCTGACATGATAGTTCTAACCCACACTAGTAGGCTTGGCTAGGCCATATATTACTGTTGCAGATATTTATTTTGAATACATATTCACTGAATCCAGAATGTAGTGTTTAGTTAGAGCACCTTAGAAGTAAAATCTATAACTACTCCCTCAGTCGGAAACCTGAGACTGACTTAAGGTCAAAAGAGCCTTTAACCGTGGAAGTAGTCAGATTAACTAGTATGTTGCAATTTGTACAATGAGAAAATCGTTATACCCCGATCAGCCATAACATTATGACCACTGACACATGAAATTAATAACATTGACTGTCTTGTTACAATGGCACCTCAATGTGTGGGGAGATTTCTGCTTCTTTTATTTGTCTGGAAAGAATGTTTAAATGATCAGTTGTTGTTCTTATCTTTGCTATCACACTCTCTTGCATTGCAGTTACATGACATCATTTCATCTCATCACCGTCTCTTTTTGGCTCGTGGTTCACAGGAACAAGAAAAAAATACCCCTAGGGTACAAAAATGCAGTTTCTGCTGCCAACATTTTTTAAACAAAGCTGAGGTGTTATTCTTCAAATGAATATGGCCATCAGTGCACTAATATGTGTGGTTCATTCAAACACACACCATCTCACTCATCCACCTGCTCTCCACATTCATCCACACAACCGGCAACGCCATGTGCACGCATCCTTGCCAGCTCAGAGAAGTGTATCGTGTTAAAAATGAAGTGGTCGATTGAGTAGCGCCTGTTTTGAGTTTACCTAATGTCTACCTAGCGTTTACCTAATGTCTGTTGCCTATATATGGACATGTGTGAACTAGACCTCTGCTCACCCCCTTCAGAATGGTCTTTTACCCCCTCTGGGTGATGGAGGGAGAGAAAGCAGATGATAGAAAGGAAAAGGGAGGTAGAAAGGGAGGGAGACAGAAAAGGAGTGACCCAGACAGACGTGCACTCGTTTGACTTGATAAACTGGCCAGAGTGCTGGTGAACGTCAGTCCAAAGGTCTGGGTAGGATTGACTTTTGTTGCTGACCCAAGTCTAACAGCAAGCCCACAGGCCCCCCACGCACTCTTTAACAATGACTTAGTGCAGCAGTAATTCATCTCTCACTGCATGGAGGGATGCAGTCAGGTGCATGACAGGGCCAACAGGATTTGTGAGTTTTACTTTTAGATCACTGTCAGGATGTGCTCTTATTGTTGTGATGGTGAGGTTTGGCATTGCAGGCCAGTGCTGCCAGCTGTACAGTGATTGTTGTATGTACAAGAATCTAGGCCTTTGAAAAATTCTCCCACATGTGGTCATTTCAGATTTTTTTTTTTCTTAACAGTGAAAAGTTGGTTATGAAGGTTGGGAACTTATTTGAAACCAATCTGAACTCATCATACATTAACTACAGTGAATTAACTACAAGAAATACTCAAATTGTTTACTTTGCTAAAAACAGCAAGACCACAGTGTAAATACTCTGTTACGAGTAAAAGTTCTGCAGTCAAAATGTTCTAAAAGTACAAAAGTATTAGCACCAAAATATAATTAAAATACCAAAAGTAAAAGTATTAATTATGCAGAATAGCAGATTTCACATTAGTGTATATCCTACTGGATTATAATAATTGATGCATTATGGTGCACATCTCATTTAATGTTGCAGCTGGTAAAGGCAAAGCTCATTTTAACTACATTATATGATTATAATTTGAAGTACTGATGGGTATTTTGTGAATTTCCCACCAGGTATCAATAAAATGAGATGATCATATTCTATTTTCTATAGTGAATGTGAGTCTGAAAAGTAACTAAGTTATCAAATGAATGTAGTGGAGCAGAAGGTACAATATTTGCCTCTAAAATGTAGTGAAATCAAAGTATGCACTAGAAGATAATGAAAGTACTCAAGAAAAGTACAGATACCTTAAAATTGGACTTAGATACTGTACGTGAGTAAATGTAATTTATTACTTTCCACCACTGTAGCATTTATGTATGACAGATTACTGAATCTCGATTTGACAAACGAGACCCAGTCACTTCTCTGCTTTAGATCCTGCCACTGTTACTACTCACTGTGTCTTGTAAACTGTTTGCCACTCTTCTTTGGTTTGGTTTAATTGTAAACCATCTTGTTTGGTTTAACTTCCTCTTTGATTACGTTACATGCTAGGTCAGTGTGTGTATAATAAATGCAAGCTTGCAGTTGAAGCCTGTTGCAGTGGTCTTGATGAATCTATGGGTGTTGCACAGACCTTGGTTACAGACTACCTGTTAGCAGGGTATCTCTATGAGGGATGTTTGGCCACAGAACAAGTATGAAATGACAGATGAATTCATACCTGGCATAATGGTACTGTAAGTGGGGCTTTCGAAAAACAAATTCATGTACAGTCAGTACAAAGACTTAACTTGTTCGGTTTCTAGCAGCGGGGGAAGAGGGAAGCTTATCCTTCTAATAGTTTTCAGGATGATTATTCAGCACTACAGGGCATTTCATTCTGGTTGCATTAACCTCTGCACGCAATATGCTCTCCTGGTGAAACCCTTCCATGTCCCATTAATAAGAAAAAGCAGCTCATGGTTATGGTGCTTGAGGCTGTAGACCTCCATGTGTATCAGGGGAGGCAGCGAGGCGCATTGTTGTCCCTGCCCTGCCCAGGACAACAATGAGTCATCAGTGACATGGACTGACAGATGTACTGGCAATGACAATATA